TTTAAAGGTCACGAGAAGTTGTTTACAGGGTTTCGTTCTTCCCGATGGAATGGCACTGTGAGTGGAAAGTACGTGTGTTTGTGTGTGAATGTGCAAAATTTTGGACAGAAATCCTCTTGGATTACACGTCACTCCAAGATCATCGCCGGGCTGTCACACTCCAGGTCAAATGAATTTTTGGGTGATTTTTGGTCCCCTCCCTGACGTAACTGAGTATCTTTTATTTGGGATTAAGCCTGTAACATTTTCTTGGCATTCAAAGACTTTGAGAAGGAAAGCCCTAGCTTCAGAGAGAAAAAGGTCTCGACCTCAAAATAAATAAATAGAAACAACAACAACAACAAAAAAATCCCAGGAAAGCTTATACTGAATTAGAGAGACGCAGAAAGCAAGTTAAAACACTTAACAGAGACTTGACATTTATTGTGCAATTTTATCTCCAACAGAACATGTTGCATTCTAGAGGTATATGAGGTAATAAAAATCAATACTCCAATAAGAACACCTGAAATAATTGGCTCTAGTAACAAATGTCTCTTATAATTAAAAATATCGAATGTTTAAAAAACTCTTGTAACATTTTTCAAGTTCCCGAAAGAAAAGAGCCTAGCACTTAAAAAACAACTTTTTACTCTTCTATATAAATTGTTCACCCAAAAAAAAAAAAAAAAAAAGATCTTGCTATCCTATATTACACTATGCGCTTGTAGTTTCATTAACACGTCCCTAGTGGGTGTTAACTCTACACGGTACAGTCAAATAGAAAGTGTTCATAGAGAATCAACGAGACTCCAACGATAAAAATATTGGGATCGACGGATCCGTCACGATTTCCCCAACACAAGTGTCCGTCGTGGAAAATAGAGCCAAGGCAGGTGGGCCCCAGGCTGGGGCTGCTACAAGGCCTCGGCCTGTTCTTGGACTTGAACGTGGCCGAAGGGATGGGAGAGCCCCAGCTACAGGGGAGGGTCAACCAACAAACAGGTCCCTGTGTTTTCCCTACGGAAGTCCCCACAGTGATGTCCTAGGGTAAGACCCTTCCAAGCCAGACATGCCGCCCCCAAGGCTGGGGAAACAGCAGCCCTGGAAAGAGAACTGAGCGGAGCGTTGGCTAGCTCACGCCCCGGGCCGTCTCTGACACCCAGGAGAGTTCAAATATTGTTTGCTTTTGTGCCGGGAACCTGCACAAATGGATGGGACTCCACTGGCGCTTTTAGCTTCCCCACTTCTTTAAAAAGTTCTGCGGTCTTCCTCGTAGGGCCTTGCCCAGAGCAAGCCTTTTGCAGAACCCCCCGGGCAGCTCCCAGAGGGATTTGTGGTTTTTATGCTCCTGCTTAAGTGTCAACACACTTCAGAAGTGCTTTTTAGTGGCGCAGATAGGAACTCCCCTTGGATGGCATGAAATAAAAAAAAACAAACAAAACAAACCCATCCCAGAGTGTCGGCGGGCTTAGGGAACTGTGCAGGAAAAACCAAACTGGCGGTTGTGCTCACCGAGCCCAAAGGGGTCCTCGTTGGTGAGCTGAGTGCTTTGGGCAGTTTGCTTATTAACGCAGTGGGGATAATGGCACAATAGCCTCACGGGGGTAGCTGTGAGCGTTAAAGCGAGAGGATGCCTAGAGGGCTTATTATCAAAGTAAGGGGCACACAGGAACTCAATTGAACAGATCGGCTACACACACTATTGTCGCAGTGAGTGGCTCTGAAGCGGCCCAAGTCACTTCCCCAGTGTGGCCGGGACATGCCTGGCTGCTTGCACAGGTGGCGATTATTCTGAGAATAAAAAAGGGCTTGAGTGAGTTAACCAGCAGATGCACTTTTCATTATAATTTGGGGAACTGTGATTTAATAATTACATGGCCCTTATATCAGCCAGCTGAGGGTGCTTATGAGGGTAATTAAGTCACCGTCACTGCAAATATTTGGGAATTTGGTGCCTTCCAAAGTCAAACTGACCCGCCTGGGCGTTAGATGGGAGAAGTCCAGTCCTCTCAGCGTTACCTGCAATTGGATATGTTGGGCGGGGGAAGGGAGGGAGAGGGGGTGTCAAAGTGGTCTCTAATCTGTAAATAGCTCGGTTAAAGCTTTATGTTTAGAAGGTAGGTGTATGGGTGGGTTATTATTTTTGCAGTCCGTGTGGTCTGATGTCAATCAATGCTTCGCTCTCCTCTTAATAAAAAAATAAAAAAACCAACATAAATGAGAGGACCAAGTGCTGTCCACCGACGATGCAGGTAGCTCTTGCAGAGGGTCATCATCAGCCGGGGGACGTTTTCCCGTGCGGTTCCAAGGGGAAGTGGTTATTTCTACCCAGCACTCGCAAGACTGAAAGAAGCCATCCCCGTGTTTACAAAAAATACATCACCACGATGCATAACTGCTGTTTAGACACATTCACATTAGGGATCTGACTACAAGCGTTCCATCTGACATGTTTTGCCAGACAGCTCTGGCAAGTGTCGCCACACCGAACACACGCCGGGCAAGATCCGCGCCATATGCGCGGAAAACCGTTTTCTGCTCCCGTTCCTGGAAGCTTGTGTGTGAGAGCTGTCAAAAAATTAACACAAGATCTGTGCTGCGAAATGACGTAGCCCCGAATGAGGAAGCTGAGCATTTAAATCTCTTCTGAAAATGAAGCTACTCAAGAATGGGATTTTTTTTTTTTTTTTAAATCACTGAAATCTAAGAAGGAACTCGGGAGGTAGTCAGCGGGTACCGGGTTCGAATTCCAGGGCGCACAGTGAATGATGGGGATCGAAATGAGGGCAAAGTCTGCTTTTTCCGAACACAGCGCACATCTCGTCTCTACGTGATGCTCTGTCTGTCTTCTGGGAGCCACGGAAGGGAGCCACGAGCCACTAAAAGTGGCAGGGAAACGTGGAAATGGTGGACCTGTAGATTCCCAGGTTTGGCTTCTTGTCAGGTCTTGGGTAAACGTCTGATCCCACGAGATCAGTTGCTGGGTTTAAGAAACCGTTCTGGGCCGGGCGCGGTGGCTCACGCCTGTCATCCCAGCACTCTGGGAGGCCGAGGCGGGCGGATCGCTCAAGGTCAGGAGTTCGAAACCAGCCTGAGCAAGAGTGAGACCCTCGTCTCTACTATAAATAAAAAGAAATTAATTGTCCAACTAATATATATAGAAAAATTAGCGGGCTGGTGGCGCATGCCTGTAGTCCCAGCTACTGGGAGGCTGAGGCAGAGGATCGCTTGAGCCCAGGAGTTTGAGGTTGCTGTGAGCGAGGCTGACGCCACGCATCACTCTAGCGGGGCAACAAAGCTGAGACTCTGTCTCAAAAAAAAAAAAAAAGAAAGAAAGAAATCAAATCGAGAAGACGAACATCATCTGGCTCCGAAGAGATGGACCGGAAGGAAGCCCACAGAATAGTCCGTTCTTGGGGTGAGCTTTGACCTTGCTACATACAAGCCGCTGGGCCTGACCCCAAAATCAGTGAGCATCCTCTGTCGCCCCCCCCACGCCGATTCAAAAGTCAGGTGACCCGTCCAGGCACCCGTCGTGAACCCAGGCGCTACGCCAGCCCCCCGCCACGTGGTGCTCAGTGGCAGCGTGCGCGTGCCAAGGGAGAGGGGCAGCCCGCCCACCACAGAGCTGGTGCCATGGGTCAGGACCCAGGCGGCAGCCGGCCGGGGACCCCTGGGTCCTCGGCAACAGTGGGCACGCAGGCAGAGCGGATGCCGCCTGGGTCTCGGGGGCCCAGGCCCTGCTGCACCCACCGCGCCTGTGGCCGGCCAATAAGA